CCCCCCCGTTCCCTGTCCCCTGACCGCCCCGGAACCCCAGCCCCTGACTGCCCCCCCGCCGCCCCATCCAAGCCCCCCTCTCCTTCCTGAGTGCCCCCTGGGAACTCCCGCCCCCATTCAACCCCCCTGTTCCCCGCCCTCTGATTGCCCCGACCCCTATCCACGTCCCTGCACCCTGACCACCACCCCGAACTCCCCTGCCCTCTATCCAACCCCCCTTGCCCTCTTACTGTGCTGCCTGGATCACCGGTGGCACTACAGCCGCTCCGCCCAGAGCACCAGGACAGGCAGCTGCGCCGCCTGGCTGGAGCCAGCCATGCCACCGCACAGCACAGAGCACCGGGTCAGGCCCCAGCTCTGCAGCAGCGCTGTCCCAGGAACTCGCAGTCCCGCTGCCCAGAGCATTGCGCCGGTGGCGGAGTGAGCTGAGGCTGTGGGGGAGGGGGAACAGCAGGGGAGGGGCTGGGGGCGAGCCTCCTGGGGCAGGAGCTCAGGGACTGGGCAGGAGGGTCCCACGGGCCGTAGTTTGCCCACTTCTGCTTTAGATGCACCTCCGAGGTTGAAGATATTTAGCATCATATATTATCATGAATATGAGTTTCTGCTTCTACTAGTTACTACAATTTACTTAAATTACCTGCTTAGAATTCTATTTTTTTTAAAAAAAGAAAACATCTCTGGGCCATGATAGTTCCAAAATATGTCCCTGACTGCCAAACTTCTGCTTTCTATGAGAAATTCCTGTAAAATACCTCCCAAGCTCTTGCAATGGAAGCAAAGAGGCTCTCATCTGAATCCTGCTCATCCACCTGTGTTGCTATCTGATCAGTTTTCACAATGAGCTTTAGTGACTTTCCCTTTTGTATCAAAAAAGAATAAAACCCAAAGCACCATCTTCAGTTACTGTGGTATTCTGGTCACAGAAATATTACCAAACAAAACATTCCTAAAGCTTTGAACTCATAGCTTTAAAACAACAAATAGCACAGCAGCAGCAGCAGCAGCGGTAAACAGCAGCACAAGACATGCAGTAAGATAAATACACAAGCCATAAATAGTCAACAAAGGACAGTCTACATTAAACAAAGGCATGTACACCACAGGCAAAAATAAAGGGCCACACAGAGTAAGACAGCATCTTACACGTCTGCCTTTGTTAGCTGGAATACAGGAAGGAGAGCGCTTCAACAAAGAAAGGAGGAAAATGCGTTACAAAACTTAAAACAAGGGCACACACGCTAGCTCAGAATTTGTCACTATGTTAATAGACAAACAGTAGACATGCACAAATATATTTTAAAAATAAATATTTCTAAGACAAATATTTTGTACATATTTTGGGGATGTTACTCATAAGGGGGAACAACACGAGGAAAAAACATAAGAAAGAAAGTTATTTCAAATCCTGTAACTTTGCAGCAGACAATAATGCTCTACAGTGTACCCTACATTAGAGCACATATGCATGACTTCCACAATAAATACCTTTATCATCAGTAAAAGATGGATAGTTTCTTCTCTTGAAGGCCCAATGTGTTCAGTTTAAAATACCATTAAGAACCATAATTCTTCAAAACCTAAGGAATTATCAATGTGTGGGTGCAGCCAGGGTTCTCACTACAGAATGCGGCAAAGAGCTATTAAGTAATTAACTATGAAAGTTGTGGATCCAGTTTATACAGTGGAGGCTTATGAGGGCCAGATTCAATGTTCCATGTGTGGTAGTCCAACTGAAGCCAAAGGGTATTTTAAGCAAGGATTGATAGAAGGATAGGACCTGAAATACCAGCTTCAGTCACTCAGGAGGCAGACATGTTTCATTTACAATTATTTAAGAATGAAAAAAATATCTCTTCCAATAAGTAGGGCAAATGCTTGCTAGGGCCACAGTAGGTTCCACTTAATATGAAATATAAAAATGATCACAATCATTACCCTTATAATATAACCCAAGTTGCTATTTTATATGGGGAGGGGCATAGTGAATCATCAGCACAGTGAGAGGTTTCTCTTCCTCCTGAAGCATCTGCAGGCTCCAGTCATAGGCAGCTGGAGCGCAGACATCTATTTTTATTTTTCTCCAACAGAACTAGGGAAATTATAGTCTTCCTAGTTGATACAATTAGAATAAACTACAATCATTCATAGTTTGCTATAAACATTTCAATCATTTGGATGGCAGAGATTCAAGCAGAGCTCTGCCCTTGTATGTAAATAGATAATTTTAAAGCATATATTTAGTGAGTCAAATTCTGAAGTGATTTACACCCATGAAATTACATGGTCTTCAGTGGGCTTGCAAAGGGTGTAAAATTTAGCTCAGTATCTTGCTCTCTAAACTATTACCAGCATTTTAGGGGGAGCATGGGGTTACTGCATGCATAGGGAGGAAATGATACAGGCCATTAGCAATATCCACTGCTGGTCCTACTCAAGAGAACACCCCATGCGATATTGCAGCAACTGCAATCTCCTGAGGAACTCTAGCTAGCAGTCTTGATTGGGTAGGGGGTGATGGCAGGTGAAAGGTCTTTGGTTTTGGAACTCACACTCCTTGGTTTGACAGGGTCTAAATTTGATTCCCTTCAAGTCATGCTACAAAATCCTGCCATTGTTCTTCCAGGTTATTATTGTCAATCAGGATGACTGAATGGGGGATGGAGGCCATGTCTAGGGTGATAGCGGTATTTTTTAAGACTCCTATTTTACTTTTTAAAGTTCTGATTGATATACTGAGATAAAACTTGTTTAATAGGCCTAGAGCATGGGACCAAGCTACCTATGAATAATATATAGATATTTTTATATTTTCTGTTTAATCTTTGTAATTCAGAGATAATGTCTTAAGGGTGTTACTTGATAAATTAGATCGTGATCAATTAAATGAAAAATAGCATATTTACCTTGTGCAAATTCAAATGTCCCCCTCTAAATATATATTAACAACATCAAAACAGTTATTTAATGTATGACCCTTTTGTTGGTGGTCCTTTCCCACAGCAATCTCTATGCTATCCTCATTCATTATTCACTCACTGTAGGCAATGGAATATGAAGAGGTACCTGCTACATTCAACAGCACAATAGGTTGGTTCTATCTGGGCATAACTGGAATGTTTAACTTCAGCAGCAATTAGTAGTTTATCATATGCATTAAAAATTAACTAGAGGGGCTAATAAAAGAGATGGTTGGAAAATGTTATGTTCATTCTATGGTGAAATCTGTTTCCATTCCAAATTAGAATGAAAAACCACAATTTCCTGCAGAACAAAAATTCTGAAAATTTTTGATTCAGAATCATCAAGATGTTTAGTTACAATAATATTGAAATATTAAATATAAATATAACATTAATGTCAATATTTTAATATAAAAGTTGAAATGATAAAGTTAAAATGAAAAATTGCAACAGTATCAAAATGAAACAAGAAAGTAAAAAAAAATTTTTTTCAACTTTTTCCCCACTGAAAATTTTGTCAAAATCTGCATGTTCCTGCAAAATATTTAAATTCTGACAAAACTGCATTTTTTGATGGAAAACTGTTCCCCTAAATTTTTTTTTGACTAGCTCTAGCTAATAACTAGTTGGTATACAGGATAATAGCAGGTGAAATTAAGTAAATATATCTCATTTGTCTGCGATGGCTTCTATCCTCACTTGGAAAGATGGTGACTTCTTTATGCGTCTTTGCAGAGTGAGAAAGTACTCTATCTCTATGACATCTATGTCATCCTCTGTCCCGCCTAACCACTGTTCCAAACTGTTCTCTTGTCTACTGTAGATTGAGATGAGAGAACCTCCCATAGAACTCAGCCTGAAGACCCAATGATGAATGTCTCATGTTTTGTATGTTAAGCATTAAAATGTTAACTGCTTTCAACTTTAACAATATATACAGTGATATCTAGAGACCTGCCAAGAACTGCAAGATCAGCATTAGGAGAAGGTTAAATCTTGGTGGACCAATCAAGAAGACCATCGTCTAAGGCAGTGGTCACTAACCGGTAGATCGTGATCAACTGGTCTATCCTGGAGCCTCTGCCAGTCGATCGTGATCTCCGGCCACTAAAAGTCTGGCAGCACAGTGGGGCTAAGGCACACTCCCTGCCTGCCCAGGCCCCACACCGCTCCCGGAAGTGTCTGGCATGTCTCTGCGGCCCCTGGGGGTGCAGGGGGTCAGGCAGCTCCACATGCTGCAGCTGCTCCCGCCCCCCCAGCACCACCACCCCAGCTCCCGTTGGCCACAGTTCCCAGCCAATGGGAGCTGTGGAGTCAGCACTGGGGGGGGAGGGGCAGCAGCAGTGTGTGGAGCCACCTGCCCTCCCCTCCCGGGGCCGCAGAGTCATGCTAGCTGTTTCCGGGAGCGGTGTGGGGCCAGGGCAGGCAGGAAGCCTGCCTTAGGTCTGCTGCGCCACTGACTGGGAGCCGCCTGTGGTAAGCGCCTCCTGGCTAGAGCCTGAACCTCGCACCCCCTCCTGCACCCCACCCTCCTGTCCCAGCCCGGAGCCTCCTGCTGCACCCAAACTCCCTCCCAGAGCCCACACCCCTCATCCCCTCCTGCACCCCAACACCCTGCCCCAGGCTCAGCCCAGAGCCCCATCCCACACTCTGAACCCCTCAGCCCCAGCCCAGAGCCTGCAGCCACTCCCTCACCATAGTCCCCTGCCCCAGGACAGTGAAAATGAGAGAGGGTGGGGAAGAATGAGCGACGGAGGGAGGGGGAAATGTAGTGAGCAGGGTGGGGTCTCGGGGAAGGGGCGGGGTAGATCCTGGGTTGATCTTAAAGTCAAAAAGTGATCTTGTGCGTAAAAAGGTTGGAGACCACTGCTCTAAGGCAAGTTAGCCAACAGTGGAACACATACAAACTGTACTCATTTGACAGTTGACCCTGCACATGCCACAAGATCAACAGCTTGGCATTATGCAGAGTTTTATAATGTTACAGCTGTGATGTGAACCAATGGATAACACACCCAAGACTTTGCCAGAATTATGCTGGAACTATTGTAAATGATTATTTTTTCTGAAAGATGCATAACATACCTTTTCACCTGCATAGGGGAAATAATATATTTGATTTGGTTGCAGTATTTGTGAAAAATATGCAGTCTCTGCTTTAACAAATATTATTTTTTATGTATTGATGCCTTTCAGCGCTAAGTTTACAAGCCCAGCAGCAGATCTTCGTTCTCCTTCCTAAATTGGTCTAGGTCCCCTCTACAAAGGTAGGCTATATTAACTGCTCTCCCAAACATTTATTTTATTACTCTTCTAAAATGTTTTGAAGAGGGAGTGGTGTGTTTTAAAAGATCATGTTTCTCAGTCTATATTAAAGAGCAGGTTGAGCTGGGCAACCTTTTCATAATGCTCTCCCACCAAGTAGAATGCTTCTTTAACCCAAACATAGAAACATAAACAGTCAGGATAAAAGTTATCATGACAAAGACTGCTTTGGTGTCTCTAGGCATAAGGATATTTCTAAGATGTCAGAAAAGCAATCTTTCTGGTTTGTATAATGATAATACAGACTACGGTCTAATACTTCTAATGTGGTACCACAAACATACACTCACACAGTATGTGCTCCAACCATAGGAATAAACACGAGAAGAAATATTTCTAAGAATTTTTGTTGTGAAAAAGATATTATCAGGATAAGATTATACACTACATCCTCTTTCTTTCAACATTCTTGATGGACTCCCATTTTCAATTTTATAACTGTGTTTTTACAACACAATTAATTATACGGCATTTTAATGCAGCTGAGACCATAACCTTATATCAAACAGTGTTATAATTTAGAGTTCTATAAAGAGGGGAAAAGCTTCCTATTTTGACACAACACTTCTAAGTATTTAAATCTACTAGCCTACTACTTGGGTCTGGAAAACAAATAATGCAGTCAATTTACAGCTTTTAAAATGATTTGCTAGCTAAGTTTGCCACCAACTAGTGTCATATTTCAATGTTTTCCTACATTAAAAACATAAATTCCAAATGACAACAAAAACAAATTTCTATACTCATTCTGGTTATGGTGAAATTTGACACAATTACCTACCCAATCAGTTTTAACAGAAAGACCATTCAATAAAAATGCAAAATCTATTATTTATTTGAGAAAACTAAAAAAAGAAACTTCAGAAGTCATCTGGACAGAGAAAAAAAATCTTCAGCAAAGTGACTAAAAACAGCTAGTGAAAATGGGTATAATATGCAACAACATAATGAAATGAATTATATAACACCACAGATGATTTCAGAACGGTTGTCAGAGGACTGAGAGTAGGTGACAATTTAGTAGATTACCTCTGACAAACTGACAAAACTTACAGCACCTTCCCAAAATACAAAAGCATTTTGCAAAGCATAATGCAATACCTGCATTAAAGAAAGAAATATATTTCTTCAAACTGTGTATCTATATAGTATCTATCTATCTATCAATCAAAGATATAGATATATTAGTGCAGGAGAATTCTGTGCTCTCAGATGCACTTGAAATCATACAATTCTTAAATTGACTGCATTATGTTCGAATTTTCCAGATCAATCAACCAATTTCTTTTATTGAGGGATTTACTGGTTTGAAGGTCAAAGACTTACATCATCCATAAAATCAATCAATGAGGATGAAGAAGAAGAAGAAAAGGAATCCTATTTAACGAACACAACAGTAAAGAAACAGAAAAAAATGGATGAAGAGAACTATTCTGTAAAAATAAATAATGATACAGTGTTGCAAAAACAATTAAAGAAAAACGGTAAATGACTTTAATGCCAAGTCACAATTACATCAGTTAAAGTTGTGGAGTCTTTGTTAATTGCCTTTTGGTTTCTTAGACAATTCATCCATAATCCATCCATAAAAAAAGCAGACTAATGCTTTTTCTATCCTTCACTCAATAAAAGCATTTCCAAATTCTGACAGAATTTTTGTATTAAAACCAACATCTGATAAAGCATTAAAAGCAAATTAAATATGATCATCAGATGTGGAGAATTCATCAGAATGCAACGACTTTAGAAAATAGTGAATATGCATTAAAGAGGAGAGTAAAATTTTCAAAAATGTAACAATTATTTTCTTCCTTAAATTGTAGGGGTCAAATTCTGCTGTATTAAAGATAATCATGTGCATCTTCTGTTGACATCTGTGGGAGCCATGAACACATTCTAGAATAGGATTTGACCTTAAGGGTAGCATCCTGGCCTAACTGAAGTCAGTGGGAATTTGGTCATTGACTTAAATAGAGCCAGGATTTAAGCCCTAATATTTTACAGAAATTTTACATTGTTTACTTTAGATAAATAAGAGAAGGTGTGAAATATACGTGTCCATTTTACATTTTCTCCTCCAGTTTTTCTATTTACCAGGACTTTGATCTAAAAATTTCAAAGGAATTAAACAGTTTTACTTTAGTTTTACTCTGATTTTCTTGGACACATGCATGGTATCACTTATCTCAATGGTAGTGAGTACATCCAAAGGCAGTATTTAGCCTTTGGTTTACAAATTCCTATAAAAATGAATGGAGGATATGTAATCTGTGTTAGCTAAGTATTTTTTTACAATGAAAGGCCATTTTAACTTCATCTTTCTTTTAGACTCTCACATTTCACCATACATGACCTTTAAAGAGAATGGACCATGATTACAACTATTCAAGAACAGGAAGAAGGCATAGTAAATCAAACAATTATCATAAATTATTATTGTAACCTAAAATGATGTTAAAAATGTAGAAGGACAATGGGACTAAAAGACAGTATTAACTCCTAAGCAAGTATGCACACAACCTGCATGACAGCAAGAATAAAACATTTCCATGATTGCCAAAGACATTCAAATGGCTGCACACTTACTTCAAATTGATCCAGTGCAGAGGTAGGAGCATTCAAAAATGCCAAGAAAGAATTCTGTGAGTCTTGGTGCTTTACACCTAGAAAACAGCAGCAAGTTTTTTAAGATACAGAAAAATGACTGCTTCATGGAGGCCCTTTGTCTTGCTGAATCTGGTTATAGGTGAATCATCTAAAATGTATTATGGACTGTCACGTCTGGTCTGCTACTCAGTACGAAAGAAGGTACCTTTTTAACACACATGCAGAGAGTATACAGCCTATGGTTAAATGTTCATTTCCCCAGATGTGTGTAATGCCAAGATGATACATTAGATATACTGCACATATGTATATAGGCTGTGTAATGCACAGATATCTAATGTGTATGCGTCCCTTTACAATATGTTAATACTGATTCACATACATGCATGTAATGTGGCTCATTTCACACCTTGTGTCAGTAGGATTTCTATATCCCAGGAGAGGTGCACCCCTGCGAGGGGGGGGGGGAAGAGAAATGGGGTGCAGGTGGCCTTTGTGCTGCTGCCCTTCTCTAGAAATTCTGCCAGGAAAAGGCAGCTTAAACTTGTGGGTGAGGTTCCAAGGGAGATATGCCAGTGTTGATTGCTGTGTGTGTGTGAGTGTGAGTGTGAGTGAGAGAGAGAGAGAGAGAGAGATCTGTTACATTACAGTTCCTTCTCTAACTAGGTCTTTTGTACTGGTGACCCCTTTCAAATAGCAAGCCTCTGAGTGCGATCTCCCTTATAAATTAAAAACACTTTTTTATATATTTAACACCATTATAAATGCTGGATGCAAAGCGGGGTTTGGGGTGGAGGCTGACAGCTCGTGACCCCCCATGTAATAACCTCGCGACCCCCAGTTTGAGAACCCCTGAACTAGGATGTCATCCTGTCCACTCAATATCTATCTCACAATGAAAAATTAAATGTTATAAGGATGACTTTTCCTTCTAAAATATCAAATACACATTATTTCTCTATCAAAACTCCATAACCCAGACTGAATGTATTTCTCAAAGGAGTTGTCATTCTATAGAATCAGTTTTTCCCTGTGTTATTTTCTCACCCTCCCAGGTTTCAGAATATACCTATCAAGTGCACAGGATGAATCTGCTAATCTAAATTACCCCTTTTTGGAAAACAGTATTCAGGCACAGTGAGTTAATCTGCCACTATCACACAAAATGAATGCACTTGAATCCTCTGCAATGTTTATCTTTTAGTTATCAACATACTTCTACTTACAAGAGACAGTCAAATTAAAATATAATAAACAAACTGGATTAAAGAGTGTTTCTCAGTAGTTAAATATTTAAACAGTCCACATACAATGTTATAAATTTGCTTCTGGCAAAAGGATACTAATTACTTCTGACATTTTTTTTTAATCCAGGAAGTTTTCAAAGTAAGTTTTACAACCTTTTCAGAAATAGAATTAAACTCTTATCTCTATTAACACAAAAATGTAACACTGGAAAACACCAGATTTGGTAAACTATTAATTATAAATTCTTGTTTATGACTAAATACTGCAAGGCAGACTTGTTCAGCAGATTGATAATTTGTTTTTTGGGAGCACAGTACTTGTGTACTCTTCATGAAGCTATAAATTGAAGGATAAACACATGGAAAAGCAGCATCAACAAGGACAAGTTTTCAAAAGCAATAAGCTAGCCCCAAATTCCCATTTTGCATCTCCATAAATATCAAGATTATATTTATTCTGAGTATCAGTGTGAAGCATCAAGATGAGCAAGTATCAGTACTATAAATAATTTCCTCTTACCAGCTAATCAGCACCTAATCTGAATATTGTGAAGTACTCTTGGGCTGTCATAACTGTCACGCTGCACTCAGAGGCCTATCTACACTAGGTGAAAAGGAGTGGCAGCAGACAACTGTTTGGAATGCCTTGAGATTGCAAACCCTATAAAATGCTTGAATCTAAGCATAACAGTTGTCCCACAAATTTTTGAGTTTTGAGAAAGTTTTGCATTCTAACAACTAGTTGCTGCACCTAAGAAAGTGACACAAGATCTTTAATTCGTGTCTGCCTGAAACAGTGCAATCTGCAATTGTTTCTTTCAGCCTGGATGGTAAGACACAAATGTTACAGCTACACCAGGTCAGCTGATTCTCCTAACTCCATCTCTCAATTACTCCTGGGGTAATTCTGCGCTACTGCGTGTGCACATATTTAATAAGCCCCGCAGTTTTCTAATTTTTCACGCAGAAAAAGCTTCTGCCAAAATGTTGCTGCAGTTCTGACTTTTGCCCACCAGAGGGCGGTAAGGCAATAGAACAAAGTTGCAACTCCCCCCAAGGAGGGAAGAGAGAGCTGCCTTCCCAGCTGTCAGGCCAGGTCAGGAGACAAGAGCTCATAAGGGCTAGTGGGGGAGGACAGACTGGGGCAGGGGCTGAATGGGAGTGGAGGTACAGGGCCACGGGAGGTGAAGAGACACAGGGGGAAGGGAGGCAGAGCTACATAGGGACAGGGGAGTGGCTGGGTGAGGGCACAGACACACATGGGGACAGGGGCAGATGTGCCTGACTGAATGGGAGAGGCTAGGGGCCAGCCAGGGTCTGCATGGGGGAAGCTCCCTAAAAATCCCTTCTTGCCCCCTCTCCCCCCCCAAAAAACCTGTTCCTTACTTTTCCCACCCATACCCAACAACCCTCCAAGTTCACACCCAGGCTCCTTCCCAGCAATTTACTTCCCTCTCCCTCAGCTCCTCCGTTACCCGACTCCCCCCAGGCCTTTGCTCTGCTTCTGAGGGGTGCGGGAAATACCGTTCTGTATTGTAGTTTAAATGAATTATTACTCAGAGTTCTGTATTAATATGCCAAGTAAGGAATCTGTCAAAAAAGATTTCCTGAATCTTTTTTGTTGTCTGTATTGTTACAGACATACTTGCTGACAGGTATTTTGAAATAAATGACCAAAAATAATTGAAACTGGTGTGATTATATTGTGTTATTTTGACAAATAAAATATGCAGAATTTTAAAATATTGTGTGCAGAATGTTTAATTTTTTGTTGCCGAATTTTTGGCACAGAATTCCACCAGGAGTAGAGTCTCAATGCTCCGGCTTATATTTGGAAATTACCCAAGAGAGTCTGCTCCCAGCAACACTGGTTCAATCACAGTAAGGCAAAACCTAGTAAATCGATTCTGTCCAGGGCTGCATTGCTATGTGTAAGCAGTAATCTGCGGCAGGAAAAACCACCATTAAATGTTATCAATGCCCCTGCTATTGTTTCCTCTCTTAGTGTAGATGTAGCCAGATAATTCAGAAATGGAGAGTACCGACTGACTATACTGAAGTGTAAAAACCCTTATCTACCAAAGAAAAAATGTTTATTGAATATTCTGTACTACTAAGGGTTATATGGTGGTCAATTCTATATACAAGTTGAAGTAAAAATAATTTAAGTCAAATCAAAATGACTCTCATGCTTCAAGTGCACCAAGAAAATTCCAGAATATTATATAACAGATTCGCACATAATTGCTGTGGGTACATTTTACCATGCAATAGCTGTATTAACATTTTAGATGTCAGAATCTCTCAGCATCATGGTTCTTGCATTTATACCGCAAGATGACACTCTTAACTGATAAGATGTACCCACTACTGTGCAGTATGTTCTCATTTATTTTGACACCAGTTGCCATACCCTTTTCTGATCTGAGGTCTTCTGTCTCCTTTTTCAGTTTTTCAATTTCTGACAACAGTTCCAAGTTCTTCTTTTCTGACTCTTGAAGTTTACTTTAAAAAAAGAAAGAAAAACAAAGAAACAAAAAATACAATTATTGAGATCCAGCACTGCAAATTCTCCCTTTTTTGGTCCATCTTTGCATGTTATTTGGACTACTGTTTGGTTAAAATCAATGCTAGCCAAGTTGCGTTGTCAAACAAAGCATGATGTCATCAAATGAAAGGCTGAGTGCAGAATTCTGTTATGACTTGTTTAGTATGGGACCTTGGAAAAAAGAGTGAATAACTGGCTTTGTTTACCCTTTAGGTTGACCCATGCCTCTAATTTATGAACAACTGTGTGAACCCATGCCCTGGGAATGAGAAGAAAAGACCACATTTAAAAATAAACATAAAACAGATCATTTCATTTGCTAATTCATTAAGTTGGTGCTGCTCAGAGACTGTACATTGAAAGTTTTTTCTGTTCAGTTATTAACAAAGGAGACCATAAAAACATTTTGGTAATATAATGCTCAGCTTAGTTTTCTCCTTACAAATTCTCTGATTCACAATCAAATAAATATTATTACTATACAATTCTACAATACTTTTCATCCAACGAGCTCTAAGCACTTTTCAAATGCTAGTTATTCCTCTATCTTAAGGGTTTCATACTGCTGCTTTTTAAGATAGGTAAGCTGAGGCTCAGAAAAATTGATTAGTCCCAAAACACACAATGAGTCAGTAATAGAGTCAAGCATGGAACTCTGCTCCCCAATTCTAGTCACTCGTTTGCACTGCCTAAACATTCAAGGACTTTTTTCTTCTATGAACAGGTTGATCGAAAACATGAAGAGGTCCAATTTCAACTTGATGTGCACGTTTTTACTCCTTAACTGTCATTAGTGTTACTGGGAATTGAGTGGCTAAACGCCTTGTACAGTGAGTTGAAGGTATACACTCATACCCATCACACACATTAAAAATAAATTTTGCCACAAATCACATGACTTCTCATCTCCAACCTCCCTATCAGATCCAGCTAAGGCAGAAAAATCATCACTTCTCTCGCATTTTGTGATTCACACATCAGTTCTTTATTCCATTCCCCACTACTGGTCCTTTCCATGTCTTATGTCTACTGTTTAGGTGCCTAGATACTGTACTACAGTGACAGGCATATTATGGTATAAATGCTTTATACAGAGACTTCAACAGACAGGTTCATGCACATGTCTAATCTCCTTGTTTAGAGAAAAGGAATTCAAAGGCTTCTAAAAGTTACCAGTATGATACCTTTAAAACACACCACAGGGCATTTTTTCCAGTAGGACAGCCCAGAAAACTGAAGTCCGCTACTTTCCAACAGAATAGGGGCAGCATGGATAGTGGCAGTGCACATTTCTCTTACAATGAGCTCAGTCCTGAGTTGGAGGGATCACTTTTAGGTATAAAAAAAGCTGTTCAGCCCTCATGCTTGCTCTGTCTTTAACCTCTCTGCTCAGGCTACCAACAAAGGAAATAATCAGTACCAATTTCAGTGGTGGCTGTTGTGATGTGAGTGTTTGAACTGGACTCATGCCACCAAATTTATTTTCACAGGCTGCCAAGAAACCTTCTATGGTACCAGCATTTGGTAACTTCTAACCTTGGCTGGATTACAACTGATGACCTACAAGTGAAATGCCCCATTATTCCCAATTACTAATCCTCTGCTTTGGCCAGTCCCCCTAATCAAATAAATTTTGAAATTGAAGTGAAGCAGGGATCAGTGAAGCAGGGAAGAAAAGAATTCTTAAATCTCAATAGGCAGGCTTTATTCCTGTACAAATCAACATGCAAAAATTGATTTTGTCCATCCAATCCAATAAACCTGTCAATGGAGTAGAAAGGAATATATGTTTTGAGATAGACAAACAACAATTGCCTGTTACTCAGCCCCAAAGTTGTAAAATGTTTGTGGGAGAAATTAGATGTATGAAAAAGTGCCATCTGAAAGTCTAGAGAGAGAGCTCCAGTTTTTCATAGTACCTTTTCAGTTACTCACAGAATACAAAAGAATATGGTCTTGTTTTTAGGTACAGCTATAAGAAACGAACGTACCATTCATTATCAGATTTTGACAGACAAGATATTTAACACTTATAACTAAATGTTCTCTCCCCAAAAGGTCTTTGGCAAGCTATCATAGTGAAGTTCCATCAGAACCATTCAGTCTCACCATTCTGTAGAGATGCTGGAAGCTTTAACTTTATTTAACTCATCTTGAATGGCCTGTTTGGCTCGGATTTCTGCATCAAGGGCTGACTGCAGTTCCAGCCTTGCTGACATATCCAGTTTAGCAAAGCGGCGCATCTTCCAGGGCATGTCCTATTAAAAACAAAACAAACAACCCAGAGAGAATGTAATTGATTTCAATATTATTACTTATTAATTATTATTAGTAGTAGTAATAGTAGTAGTAGTCGTCCTCAGCCTATTATGTTCTTGATGTGAGAGCTCATCAGTTCAAAAAGGATTTTGGAAAGTCCCCGAATACATCATCTCTTTTTTCTCAAGTTCTAAAAGAGGAAGATGACTGCCCCATGCTTTCATACTCTCACAACTTTGTGAACCATAGTCATTTACATGCATGGATTTGAATGGCAACTATGATAAGACTCACAGAAGGAAATGGCTCCTTCAAAGAGAATACTTTCCATGATGTGACAGTGCGGATCTTTTTCACCTCTGCAGTTTTATGCAAACATCTTTTCAATACATTAATACAAGATTGTCTGTAACCATCTAAACAAAATTACACATAAAATCCCATTATAGAAGAGGTGCCATTCTATTAATTGACAACAATTAAATTGTGGTGGTCACTTAATAGGAAAGAAAAGTCCCTAAACTTGCAAGATGTCATGAGATAAATTTAGATAAATTAATACTGAATGCAAAAAGTCATAAATTTTTTTTTTTTTTTACAAAATGTTTTTTGGTATGTTAAGTGTGATCCTTACTGTTGCTCTTGCACCCAAACTGGAGTTCCGCAGAGCCTCTAGTTCTTCTGTCATTTTAGAGGCCAAGGCTTGTAGATACCCTCGAGCATCCTTTTCATCACTCACCCTAAGCACAAAAAAAAAAATTAAAAAATTAAATGAAGGAACTATTAATTTAAAATAAACAAGGCAACCTCACTAATTGTAAAGGCTAAACCTTTTGCTACTTTGCACAGTTAAATTATACAGTATGTGCTACAAAGACAAAATGAAGATAAAGAAACCAAATATCAAAACTTAAGAAAGCAAATAATAAATATCTGTCATGACCAGCATCATCTGACCAAAATATAGATTGTAACAATGAAATGTAGCAGTTTATTTTTAGATAGCAAGTTAAAAATTAAATATGCTACCACAAATTAACAGTTAGAGCATCCAAGCAACATCAGGATTAAAAATTGTCTTTCTAATCCTTCTAAGATGTTATCATAACTGACTGCATTAGTGACATTAGACTCTTCCCCCAGTTCCTATTTAATAACTGTTTCTTGCAGTAGTTTATTAAACAGCCTAAGTGAGATGAGAGCATCTTATTCCCTGAATTTGTCTTCCATAAAGACATGCCTTCTGGTTCTGATCATGTCAACAAGAGTCTCCAAATTTCCTGCTCTTTGACGATAAGAGCTTCACTGCATCTTCCAAAAGACAAGGTTGTATTTCAGACTCCACTCTCCACAGCCAGGTGAATCAAATTCTGTATCATCAAAGCCTACCCATGTTGTAGATAAGCAGGTCCCAGAAGGGATCAAAGCTAGTTTGTCACACCCCAACTGGTAACCCGGATGGAAAGGGCCACTGACTTTGAACATACAAATATATTTTGGCAGGAACATCTCCCAAGCAGTGGTCCCTAAATTCTGTAATGACAGTAATTTTTAGGGAAGGAGGAAATCTTGTTCCTCTATCCTACTTATCTCTCCGTTTCGCCTCATATTACTGTTTATTACATCCCAAGTATTTTGGACCTGGAGAGAGACCGTGATCTAGAATGGTAAATCTGTTACCTGGCAATTTCATTTCTGTGAAATCTCTCTCAACCATCCCATCGAAGATAAGTCCTTTGGGTACTCACACAGTGGCTTCTTCAGGGTTCATGTACATGGTTAATATGGTTGAATAAAGCATTATTGCTAAGAAGTTTAGGTTTATCCTACTAATAAGAATTTAGTGTTTCAATACAGCTTTGGAAGTACGCGTTTGGAGTGAGGAGACAGAAGGGACAAGTACCGGAGTGCCATGGACAAGTCTGAGCTCCCGCCAGTATTTGCAGGAATAGAGGTGCAACTCAAATTTTTTGGCCTGAGAGAGAGGTCATGATCCATGACCTAAATAAAAAAACCCATGTTTTTCCCCCCCAGTTATTTGGGGCATGCCGTACCCAAGGTGGCCTGTCCAACTCTGTTTGCCGTGTCCAGTGAACACCATCATAAATTAAGTGAGACAGTAATCATTATGAGATTTTCACATGTGGCCTTGGAGTCCAATCGGGCTTGATATCAGCAGGGTTTCCTGCACCCTTCCCTCTGCTGGCAAAGTTGTTACTGACATCTGTGGAATATAGCAAAGCTCTCCGACTGAACAGTCTAGCAGATCATTCTTGCCTGTACTCCAACATCCTGAGATGTGATAAGACTTGATTGATGGGGAAACCATTTGGTTCCCATCATTTTTTTGATTTCCTTGGCAGATTGATAGTATCTGACTTCCTCTTCTGCTGCATCTGGGAAGACTTTTTCTTTGTATTCAAAACAAACTGTGATATTGACCATCAGGGCTGTCCCATCCTTGGCATATACAAGGTCTGGTTTTCTTAGTTCGCCTTCAGCAGTGTGCAGTTTTGGTTTCTGATATACAACCGACTCAAGCTTTCACATTTCTTTTACCAAAATCTCACACAATTTATTATGCCTTTTTATGTGGACATCGTCCCAAAGTATGAGATAGAGATTCATATTTAGCAGAACAGTGTCTGCATTTCATGACTGAATTGTTTTTTCCACTATTCCCTGGTGGGATATATGTTTGCATTCAGTTTCAAAGCCATTAGGAATTGGTGTTCTGTGAAACCCTGATGATAGCTCATCCAGTCATCGCTGATCGGATCATTGCGGAAATGTTCGATTCCACTACCTTGGCATGGTGGTTCCTTCCACTGGGAGAATTCTGCATCTCTCCAGTTACAGGGATTGGGTACTTGACCCTGGGACCTGGCCTCTCCCACTCATTTAGTGTTTCATGGATGCTCTGTAGCATTCTGTTAGCATCAAAGAACAGAACTGGGTCTGTTATTGCAAGTACCACTTCTACCTTCCCACCTGCTGCCAGGCACAGTTTGCTGAACTCATCCTCAATACCACTAGTCAATGCAATGCTCCGAATTGTCTCATCTATGGAGTGTGCAATTCTATGCAACTATCTTGCCTGAACAGATGGTATGAGGCTAGCAAGTCTCATCACTCCCAGTCTCCCATTTTTGGATCTGGCATAAATGAATCTACTGCAGGTAGATGAAGCCACCAAATGATGGCCCTCCTAATGCTGTCACTGAGGGAAGAGCATAGGGTTCTCTTACAATTGGTGTGGTCTGCCAGATAGATAATTTGTGGCACGGTGAAGATTTTCAGTATGTCCAATTTTTGCGAAGGCCCGAGAAGTGCCCTGTCGATCCTCTTGAGCCAGGTGTCAAGTTTATCGGATAATGCTGGTTTGGAGAACCCGATCTACAGATCAACCTTTACCCCCAAAGTATTTCTCAGACTTGCCTGGTCTTATCATGTTCAGCCCGTCTGTGTCAATCTTCCATGCATGGGCGGTGGGTGAACTCCTGCTTTGGGGACGCTAGCCCACTGGCCCACCCCTTCCACCCAAGGCCCTTTCCCCCACATGCTGGAGCCCCGAAACCCCATCCCCCTAAGAGGAGAAGCCCTGAGGGGCCCCCCGTGACTGGAGGAGCCCTGGTCCACCCGTCCGCCCCAGCTACAGTGGGCTGAGCCGCCGGCCTCCCTGATCCACCGCCCCCCATCCCCAGAGCGCCAGGCCGAGCTTCCAGCCCCCTGGAGTGCCAGGCCAGCCCCAGCACCAGGCTGAGCTGCCGTTCCCCCTGCTCCTGACGACCCCCCCAGCCGAGTTGCCGCCCCCCTCGAGCTCTGGGCTGAGCCACTTGCCCCCCCCATCTCCTTATCCACAACCCCCTGCCAGAACCAGGCCAGCCCCAGCGTCAGGCCCCCCCCGCCCCACCCCCCCCCCCCCCGAGTGTTGGGCCAGCCCCAGCATTAGGCCGAGCCGCCAGCCCCCCCACCTCTGAAGGCACTCCCCCAGCCAAGCTGCTGGCCCCCACCGACAGCACCAGGACAAGCTGCCAGCCCTCCGAGCACCAGACCCCCCTGCCCCGAAGGCCCCCACCTGGCCGAGCTGCCAGACCCAGCACCTGGCCGAGCCTCCTCACTTCCCCAGTCACCAAGGATGAGGGACTCGCCGAGTGTCATTTGTTTGAATGCCTTAAGGATTTTGTTCTATGGTATGTGGAAGAACACCTCTGTCGCAGATTGCAAGTGATATGTGAGATTAAAAATACACAGATGTTAAATAATCACATTTTCTTATTTTTGTTACTAATTTAAAACAAAGAATTTAAAGACCCAGTTTGCTTGTCACTGTTTATGAAGTCTGTTTACCCTATGCATTTCCCTCAGCTCAGACAGTGAAAATGATTTCAGTCATTTGTTTTATGCTGGCTGCACTTTCTGGTTTTTAGTGTTGCAAAGGTGGGACTGCAAAAATGGTAGGAGAATGTTTAAGAGAAAGTGTTTCAGTTGAAGCTTAAATTGTTTTAAAATTTTTGTTTTTAGAAAAATCTATATTTAAGGCCAAGGTTTGAGTGGATATCATCCCTTGGATCAGAAAATAGCTAAAGTTAAAGAGGAAGATAAATATGAAATATTTACTCCAATCTAGTGCCCTGCTATCCCTCTGATAACCAATAGGTGGCAAACAGCTCACAATGATTCGACCATCTTCAAACTAGTGTTGTGTGACCTCAGAAGCTCTTGAACTTGTTTTAGGCCTAATAGAGACCTGTCAAAGTCTTAATCTCCCAGGTCTCCCATTTCTTCCCGCAGTCCCTTAACAAATGTAGATTCTCTTGGATCTACTGAATGCACCTTCTTTCTCTTTTACTAAACAATTCGATTACCAATCTTTTTTCATATATAACAATGTCCCTTTTACACTGCTTGGACCGGCAAGTCTTTTTCTTTAATCATTTCATTTTCTTAAAAGTAAAAAAGAACAAGGGTTTGATTTATACCTATCAATCCAAGAGAATTTGGGAAAATGGAGAGAGTAAAAACTTTTGTGAGGTAAAGTTTCACTTCTTACCTCAAAAATAATACATCTGAGAACATTTTTTCAATAGTGATATTTTAAAATTCTATTACTCTGACACTTTAAATGAATTAGCAAAACTTCTGCTGAGATTCAACTTCCATTCAGACTCCTAAAGCCTGTTCCATAATGCATGCATGCTTTCTACTGAGAACAATGGGGTTTGAGATTCAAGTAGTTGCTTTGGGACTTTTTTCCCTTTTACTTTTAACAAAATCTTTATAAGTCCTGAAAACACATATTAGGACGGAGTGCTTGGTTTCTAACTAATAACATCCAGACTGCACCACAAATGTCAGGTAAATCTTCTAGTTATTATTTGTATTACAGTAGTATCTACACACCCCAACTGAGACTGACACCCCATTGTGCTAGATGCTGTACAAAGAGTAGGAGACACTACCTACCTCAAGGAGCTTACGATATAGACAGACAAGATAGATCAAAGGTGAGACAAGTATTGTTCCCATTTTACAGATAGAGAACTGAAGCACCAAGAGATTAAGTGACTTGTCCAAAGTTACAAAAAATAAATAAATCTGCAGTTGAGCCAGGAACTGAACCCAGATTTTCTAAGGTTCACTCCACCTGCTTTCTCTTTGATTGAATGTGTTTTAATGAGAAATCAAAGAAGTCCTGAGCTGGGTGAACTAAACATTTTAAATACAAGCCTTACTCTTCTTCCTAGAGCATATCTTGAGTTTCAATGGGAGAAAATGAATTCTAAAGTCTCTGGTCTCCTTCTCAAATACCATTTTACGAGTCCATAGGTACCTTTTAAATGAGGTAACCTGTCCCTATACTGAAAGTAAGAGGCTTAGGACAAAAGGCTTTCATTTTAATTTCAGAAGTAGAGAAAAGGCCACTTCTGATTCCCTAAAGAACAGATTTACAGCAGAGAAAGTTTGCTATGTAATATTATGTGGGAGTTGAGATCTAGCTTTTGTAAAAATCTTTGTACCAGACCTACATTTTTCTGAAGTAGTGCATATTTTCCAGTCCTTCACCAAGTACAGTGGAACCCTGATTATCCAATCTAATTGGGATCAGGGCAAGATCGGATAACCAAAAATCTGGATAAACCGGAGAATGGGTGGCAGAGCTCGAGTTGTCAGCCCCGCGCATGGCAGAGCTTGGGCTGACATCAGGAGCCCCAGCTGCTTGGGGCTGACAGCTTGAGCCCTGCCACTGTCAGCCCTGGGAGGCTGGTGGTTCGGATAATATGGAGAGCTGGATAATGGAGGCTCAGATAAACAGGGTTCTACTGTATAATTACTGATAATGAATACTAATAAATACACTCATGCTATACTGTACAGCACCTTTTAGCCAAAAGGCTCAAAGCACATTAAAAACTTCACATTAGAGAATTAAGCTTCTCACACCTGTGAGATAGATACAATACTCATGTTACAGGTAGGCTCACTAAGGCACAGACATATTAGGTGCCTTGCAAAGTCACTCAGTGAATCAACAGCACAAGATTGCTGTTCATCTCCTTTCTGCCACAGACCTGAAGTATAGTATTTGAAAGTGTGGTGTTTAAAAGTGACTGCACTAGCATTAGATGTAATGAGTCCTTTTCCTGGTACGTAAGGGGGAAATTTATAGTTGATTATATAAGTCTCAGGTTTTCTTATTCTTGTCAAGGATGGAGTGGTTTGAATAATATTGGCTTGTCAATCTAAGAACTCCATTAAGGGGCTGGATGGTCTGTGAAGGTCTATTGCCAGCATGTTAGAGTAAACAGGGGCAAGGGCAAGTTACAATTATTTGCATGCTATAACTACTGAGAGAGGGAAGAACACATTAGGATGGTTCAAGGAGGTATTAACTGTGAGTAAAGAGGTGAAATTAACAGAATAAATTGTGAGTTCAATACCAGAGCAGACTTCCTGACAGCGATCGCTATTAAATTGTGGCAAAGTGTCTCCAGGGAAGTGATGGAAATCCAAGTGCTTGTGCTATTTAAAACTGGGCTGGAAATAATCCTGTAAATATTGTAGGGAGCAACAATGTATTGGCTGTAGAAATGGTCCAGGTGACCAGATAGGTGTTTCCTTTCTCTAATTTCTATGAATCTGTCATAACTTTAGCACTGAAGAAAGCTGCTGATTTACATCTTTTATTGAGGGGTGGGGAGCATGCACGTAATGTAGACAGAAAACTATCAAATTTTTGGAGGCAGCTTACCACCCCACCTTCACTTCTGTCAGCTATGAGCTACTGTGGGTGCCATAATAAGAAACATGGAGACGTGGATTGAAACTGCTAGTGCTTGAGAAAAAAATTAAGAACTTGCAGATAGCCAAACTAGATCTGTTTTTTTGAATATGAAGTGATTATGTGATATTTCAAAACACATACAACTCCCACTGATGTTCAAGAGGACTCCAGGTATGTATGCAGAGGGATATATCTCCAACAGAGCATCTCATTTTAGTATGCAGCACAGAACTCTAAGGAGAAGAGAAGGATGCTACAAGATTATTTGAGTAACAAACAGAAGAGCAAAGGTACAAACAGCACAAATTGAGTAAAGACATGGTGGCTGAGCACTGCTGAATGAATGTTGTTGGGTGTCCTCAGGAAGGAAAAAAGAAAAAAATTTGAAGTTGTATAGCCATTAAGAATATAAATGTAAACAGGCTACCTGGGCCTCCTTACCGTTCATAGAAATGTGGAGCTGGAAGGGACCTAAAGAAGTCAAGTCCAGCCCCCTGTGCTCTGGCAGGACCAAATAAGCCTGGACCATCACTGACAGGTATTTGTCCAATCTGTTTTTTGTCCAATCTCTCTTGGAAGTCTATTCCAACTTAACTACCGTTATAGTCAGAATTTTTTTCCTAATACCTAATCTAAATCTCCTTTGCTGTACATTAACCCATTACTTCTTGTCCTACCTCCAGTGAACATGGAGAACAATTGAGCACAGTCCTTTTTATAACATTCCTTAACATATTTGAAGACGGTTATCATGTTCCCCCTCAGTCTTCTTTTCTCAAGACTAAATATGCCCAGTATTTTTTTTTTCATTCCATTATGCTCTATGTTCCTACGTAACTCCTTTTGTATTTTTGGAAAGGCATACCGTTCAGCAAATAGGATGTCTAACTTTGGTTCTAAAAGTGTTATAGTTTAAATACCATTGATGTTTTGTTTTCCTTAAAAAAACAAACAAACATACTTTCAGACTAGACAGTTTTCTTTGGGTCTGACCTGATTATTTGCATTCATGCCACTATCATAGGTCTCAACAACAAGAGTGGTACTTCTTCAAAAACATTAACATAGTAAAAAAAGCCAACAGAGAAGGACAGGAGGGAGGAGAGGAGAAATAATGGCTTGCTTGATAATTATATGCAAAGGTTTTATCCATCTAAACGGTCAAGTAAAATAATACACAACTATGGCTGACTTTTCTTCCTTCACAGCTCTCAAGTGTTGGTTTATGAAGGCTTTGGATAATACGCTAATCCCCTATTGGGTTTGGTTACTCTGACCATTTAACTAGATCACCATACCTTTTGTTTTAAAAAAGCAACCCCCAAAAACTGATATTTTACTTATAATGACCGAACTTTTTCTTCTTCTGTTTTGATTTTAACTGTACAAATAGTTCTGATCAATTCTAAAACAACAGACTTAATCTGAATGGTTTTATTGCATTTCTGGTTTCTGTAATTCTGGCATCGAGTCTACTACGCTCACATTCGTGTGAGAAAATTGGAAATGTGACAAAGTGTTTGAAAAGAACATCCACAGATTAGGCTGATTTGATTTTTTTAATCTCTACCTCTGTGAAAACAATGCCTTCAGAGAATATGGACCTGATGACATGGGTCCAAATTATGTATATTCATGAAACAAACTACATTGCCTGGAAAATGTCCAGAGTTCCAGGGCCCGACTTTTTTTTTGATAGGCATTGAGTGGCCATATTCAAAAACCAAAGCGTTTGTCCAAATATGGACAATAAATTACACTGATGTCAAAACGTTGTCAACCTAACCAGGTTTCCTTAAAAAGACAATGTTTACCCATTTTTGCTTTGACACGCAAAAAAAAAAAAAAAAAGTCAGATTGCTCAGCTGCTACAAGATGAGACAAAATGGGGGAAAAACAGCTTAAGAAATAACAACAAAAAATTAGTGTAAGATACTGAAATCCCCTCAAAGTGACTGAGATGTAGAAATGTTTGGATACAAATTGCTTTCACATAAGTTAATCATCACAATGGGCCAAAAAAGAAAAAATATTTTAAAATAAGTAATACCCAGCAAAATTTCTTTCCATTAACAGTTTAAACTCAGACTTGTATTTTCCTCTCAGTATTCTAGAAAGAGATAGGAACCATTATAAATACAACATGACAGTTTGATGACAGCATTATTGGGGGGTTCACTTCAATGAAATTTCTTACTTGTTAACCCTAAGTGCTTGAGCTTTAGGAATTGTTGCTCTCTTGTAAAACTGCATATGAATTGCACTGAGTTTGTTTTACTCTGCCACACATAAACTAGCCCACCGTAGTCAGTATTGAAGGAAAAATTATACAAATCCTCCCAGCCTCCCTTGCCCCTTTTTGGAAGAGTGAGCTAATCACATGATTCCTTTCAACATTCTCCCAAAGCCACAAGTCACATCCAATGGCTATGATTCTTTGGTGCTTAAACAGTTGCAGTTGTGAGGACAACTTTCGCTCTTAAGGAGGAACAAGGTTTTCTAAACCCTGAACATAAGGAAACACCCAGGAAATAACCTAGCTCAAACCTAGACAGTTGTGAGATTGCACCAAGAGAGTCTGGGTTTCCTGATGCAACATGCTAATGAAAATGCATTAGCAGCCCTACCCCACAACTGCCTTGTGACAAGGAGCTCTGCTGTGACTGGGTACTCACCACTGGATGATCTCAGTAATTTGGGCCTCCCAGTGTGCCACAGATTCCTTTTTATCTGCCAGGTCTCTCATTTCTTCTTCTAGCTGTCGGTTGTTCATACTTAGCCTCTCAAACATGGTGGTGAGCTGAAAGAGGATTTAAAAACCACATTTAATCTAAAAAGAGCTATGACTTAACCTTCTTGCTCACCTACCTGATCAAGGAGTTTTGCCTCCCTGTGCCACACCCCTGGGTGCCCACTTTAAAAATCTGTATCACCTATCAGAATAAACTGCATGTGACAACAAAGGCTGAAACATTTTCTTCTCATGTCCAAAGTTAGACACCTTGAGAATTACAATCTTGTGACATTTCTGACATATCTTAGGGCTTGACCTTGCACAGTATAGGTGTGTAGTGTTGCATGTAGAAGCACAACATTAAAAGTGTTGAGCAAGACAGAGAGTGCAAGAGAGTCCGATCTTGTCTTACAGCTCTGCTCTACAGCCACCAAGTTATTCCTGCTTAGTAGCAGGAGTGAGGCCTACGAGGGGAATGTACCACTGTGTCTCCTCAGACACTCCCATTCTCTGCTCACCCTAATCCCTTTTTTACCTTGCACATTTATAGAGAGTGGGATTCATCTTGCAATTTACTACAATTCTCCAAGAGCTTTTCTACACAGAGCCGTTGCCAGTACAGGTGTGCTGGCATAGCTATGCCAACAGAGCCTCCTAAAGTAGCATAAACCAGCAGGAGTTCTTCTGCCAACATAGCTACATACCACCTTTCTGAATGGCATTAGCTATGCTAATCCAAACACTCATCTGTTATCATAGTTGTGTCTACATTGGGGATTTTGCCAGCATAGCTAATGCAGCTTGGGTGTATAATTTTTTCACACTCCAAGCTGACAGCTATGCTGGCAAAATTTTGTGGTATAGACCAAGCCTAAATAGAGGAATATACCCAGTGGTTAACTTTCCTTTCCGCCATACAGGTTCTATTCACATGTGCACACCCTGCAAGATCAAGGCCATAATTGGTTTGTGTTAATATCAGGGATCAAGGACAAATTAGACTACATAATTATTTGTATAGGTCAAATTTGGACCAGAGACTATGCAGGCTTGAATCTACCATACAGTACCTGTATTTCTTTAAATACTGAATTATAACAGCAAATTGGAATGATGCAAAATTTAATCTATTTTGCTCTTTTTTCCCCAACATGATTATTAAATAGTATATTTATCAGTAAAACGTGTCTCTCTATGGCCAACATCTGTAATTATATTTAAATAGGAGTCCCCTGAGCACTTTTTACAGGTCCTAATGATTTGTGATTATGAATGTTAATAGGTCTATCTAAAAAATTCACATATGTCATTTTGCAAGGCATAATGAAAATCTTTAACAGAATAAAGCAAAGTATAAAAACATCAAGGCCTCTAATCTTATAGTACTTAAAGCTACATCTATATAAAGGTCTACATTGTTATGGAAATATTCTTAGTTTGTACAGTATAGTAATTTAAAAATGTCTTCCATTATTTTTTAAAATACTCATAAAAGCAACTAAAAAAATCAAGTGAACTTTTTGCTTTAGGTAACCTTTGCCAACCAGCAATGAACTGGAACAACCCAGTGAAAAATGAACATTAAAGAGATAACCTAGCTTAATTATTTTTTTGTACAATTTTTCTTTTCCACTCATCACATGGTAATGCTAACACAGCTGCCTTGTAATTTGTAGCTTTTTAAGATCTCAAAGTAACACTTCATCTTCCAAGGTAGAAATGACCAAGTCATTGCACAGTAATCTACATGCAAGTACATGTAAAGTAATCACATTATTGGTCAATTACATGGTTATTTGGGTCATGCAAGCAAATCATTATTGTTTTAATTTGGCTTAAGGAATTATGAAGAGTTTCTGTGAAAAAGCCATATAATCAACATAATTTAGGTTTTTTTAAAAATACACTTAAAAGATCAGATAAGACTCGATTCCCTTCTCAAACCAAATGGGAGACACTCTTCTGTGTAGGATCAGTTGAACTTCTGATATATCCTATATTAGAGATTACATGTTGGTTTCAGTTACTTAAAATGGGTCTTATCCATCTCTACTATGATCCTGTATTGTTGTCTTCATATAGGGTACTTGATGCTTGTAAAACTCTCCAGCTTCAGTCAAGCAACACTTACCTTATCAAGCTCATTTGAGAGCTTTTTGTTGTCCTCTGTTAGCAGAGTCTTCTCCCGTTCATACTTCTGTTTGAACTCTGTTTCAAACTCCTCTCTTTCACTTTGGCTAAGGTACAATATAAAATACAATAAGAAGTTTCATATACTGCAAACAATCCACTATATTGTTTGATTAAATGAATACTATAATGTGTGAGTATGTAAAGGCTCTAAAAATTAATATGTACAGCAGCTGAAAGTAAAAATATTAAACATACTATTAAAAATATTAACCCCCCTAAAATGTGAACAACATGATCTTCTTAGTATTAGGACAGCAAGTCAGTGTGTTTAGTGTTATCGTTAGACAAAATTAACCTTCCTTCACTGCAGGACTGCAGAGCCTCAGGAAACTAACATTTCTCAGTCTACTTGTAAGTACTTTATTCTTTGGGTAGATCTTCCAGATGCTCAGCAATTATAATTTTGCAGAATAAAAGATAGGAAAGGCATCGCCACAAATTCAGACATTCACAGTTAAAGGTAAAACCTTCATATACCCTACTTTGTTAAAATGGCATTTTAATTTCCATATATCTCTGCACTTCCTGATCCCAGGCAGGATTAAAGGCAGAACTGCCAGAGATGAGACCTCGACCTAATAGCATGCCATGTGTGGAACAGTCATTGGACTGGCAGGATTAAACCAGTGATGAGAAAAGCTTCTGCTTACAATATTGCCAGGCTAATTTAGCAGACCTAAAAGGCCACTCATTGACGATTCACCCATCAGTATCAGTAAGAAGAGGATGGATCAATTGACCAACGGGGACACAATCATGACTGAACTGGAGACATCAATATCAGCAGATTCTCAAGCCTGTTCAGATGCTCATTCTGTGAAAAGCCTCAGGCTAGCTCCTGCTCCCTGCTTGCCTACTCAGGTGGGTTTTGTTCACCACAGAGGGAACACATGTAATATAATGCTGAATTAATCAACATTATCCTAACTGAAGGAATCCCTGTGGATTTGCAGGTGAATGATGCTGCTGTGGCCTTCTCTCCCTGATAAATGGAGCACAATTCTCTCAGTCCGTGGGATCAGAAGAAGGGTAATACAATGCAGCAAAGTTACACTGCTCCTGCTCCCCCCCCCACACTACCATCACCACCTCAAATCCACCCTTTTTGGATCGCCTACACTTGCAGAAATTCAGGAAGACCACTTCAGCGCAATGGTAGGTAACAAGGATGTACTTTACCAGTGGGCTAATTAGGCTGTGTCACACATAAATACTAGTTCAATAAATATCTTTGTTCATCTATTCAAATGCTTAGTAGGTACTCACTAAAAAGCCAGATAAAATAATCATCAAAAACTCTGTCCTGAAGTGTGTGAATTTAACTGCAAACAGGTCAGTGTTTCAGATTATGTGATGGGGAAATTATATCCTGGTTTTACTCTGTCTCTGAGAAAGAATTTGGCAAAGAATTATAACAGTTCTGCGAGAACATCCTTAAAAGCTGAGAGGCCGTCGGTGGCTATGCTGAGCCCATTTAATAGTATTCCTGGTTTGAATTTCCTGCTCCTAATTTGAAATTCATTTAATGTTTCAACCAGGCTTTGAAATAGAGTACACAATATTAGGTTAAGCTCTGAAATTGTCTGTTGTTAGGCATCCTTTGAAACATAACATTTCATTCTACCAGTGTACCATATTAATTATTACTGTTTAAACTCCAATTCTGAAATCTACCACCAATCCTTTCCCAGACTAAGAGATTCTATGCATTTGATGAGTAGACTGGGCAATAGCCAGAAAAAGATTACAGCATTAGGGGAATGGATAATGAGTCTCGCTGCCATGTATGAGGAGCAGAATCAAGCCTAACTTCTCAAACAGTAGATTAAGCCTTTAAAAAAAAAAAAAAGAGTTTGGCTAACTCTTTTTGTTTAGTTTTGTGTGTTTATTGTTATGATTTGTTTTGGTTCCTATGAATTTTGTCTAATATTTGCTCTGTAAAGCCTTGATCATCACAGCCACTGTGCTGATGGGTTTTTAGGATTTCTGCCAACTCCTGTTTCTGGGGAGGGGAGAAAAGGGACAGGATACATAATTGACATGTTTTTAGTATTTGTAACTGAAGTTCTTAATTGCAATGGTGATAGTTAAGGCTGCAAGTTTGTCACGGAAGTCACAGATTCCGTGATTTTCCAGGATCTCCATGACTTCTGCAGCGGCCGGTGCAGCTGGTCTGAGGACCACCTGAACAGCTCGGGCAGCCCCTGGGCCAGCCGCACCGGCTGCTGCTGGGGCAGTCTCGGGCCACCCCCCCCC